GTTATCCTTATCCAACCCATGCAAGGGACAAGCACAATGAACATCATACTTACGTGGAAGGCCCACATGTACACATGATTTGTCAAACTAAAGTCACACGAACAATTGGAGTATGCCATTTGTTAAACTTAGTACTCACGTGGAACCCACATGAAACCACAACTTGGTCCTGTGTCAACTTCTTAACTGGATATATGTCACTCGATTGTGCCATGTGGATCCCATCTCAATTTAACTTTATAATAAAAATAAACAACAATCTATTCCGTGTTGGGTGATCATTATCCGTCCAGTAGTGCTGGGTGTACAAGTATAGCACTTACAGAGGTTTTACCAACCCTTCACATAGCTGGAATCTTTATTTTTTGGCCCCAGGGCCCACATCGAGGTTAGAGAAATGAGAGTGGGGACCTCTACCAGGCCCGATAGAGGAGTATTTTCCTTATCCGTATAGGTAACAATAATATCCAATTTTAGGCCCATTTGATATATCTTTTAAAAAGTCAAAAGCAACTTTTGAGATTTAAAAATTGTTTTTGATCCGTTTGTCAAATTTTATGAAATTAATTATCCTAAATAGAATTCTCGTTAAAAGAGTTTTAGAGGATGTCAATCCAATGTAATTTTCTTTAAAAATACTTTCGGGAATAGAAAGCTCTTTTAAAATTAGTCTTCAAAAAAAAAATAAAGACAACTTCCTTCAATAAAATTTGAAAGCAAATGGACCCTTTCGTCATGTGAATTCCATCTCACTTAAGCTTCATCTTGAAAATAAAAGAACAGTGAGTGTTTGAAAGCAAATGGACCCTTTCGTCATGTGAATTCCATCTCACTTAAGCTTCATCTTGAAAATAAAAGAACAGTGAGTGTCCCTTGACTAACGTAAGGCTCACTGTTACCTGACAATTTATCTCCTTATTTAAGGAAAGTTGCATAATCTTTTCGGTTATATTCTATCGACTAGTAAGAGGTAAAGGACTCTCAAATCTTGAGATTTGTAAGTAGGAAGGGTGAGTACATATGTTGACTATATAATCGTAATCGTCCTTACTCTAATGAGTTGTACATTAAGGGAAAAAATAATATTATTTGTAAGTAGTGTTTACACATAAACATTTCATGTGATAGTATGTCGCTGTTACATTCGTCAATGAATTGAAATGCACCCTAAATTTATAGGAAAATGTGACGGTTAACTTACTGTTATATAGGCCGTTGATAAGTAAATATTGTTTACAAAATATTTTATATTTCAAAATTTTGAAACATGTACATACATCATTTCCAAGATAAACCATACATGTTTCACTAGAATTACTACATTATGTCGGTCGAAAGATTTGATTTAATACTTATCAAGTCGGTCAAGATAGTTGAATGCAAAATTGGCACCAAATTGGCGATAGAGTCGCGAGGTCAAAAGTGATCACGAGTTGAAAGGACACTACACTTTGGACATATAGTGATAATGTGTATGATTGGAATACTTGATTTTACTATTCGTTGGACTTTTAGCCTCTGAGCTGAATACGTTTTCACTTTTATTGTAATATATTTTATTTTTATGATTAATACAACGTATAAATTGGCCTACCAAGTTGGTGATGAGCTGTGAATTGCAATCAATTTTGGTGTACAATTAGCTACTTGGTGCCCCCATGTTTTAGTGCAGTCGGCTAATGGTTTTGCGATTGGATGGGATGTAGGACCACATTAATAGATTATGAACAAACTTTTAATTTCCTACTTAGGCCAACTTTCTATTTTCTTACTTTGGCCAACTGCCAAATAAAGATGAAGAAAATAATAAATCTTAGGTTCGAAACATTGGATCAACATCGTACATATGTTTTCTACAGTATTGTTCGATATTATATGGGATTGTGACAATTTTATATATACATGTGATAGTATTGTTCACTCAAATCATGACATTCTAATACTTGAATCACTCAAGTCACTGTACCTCAAACTTCGAGAGTAGGTAAGAGAGAGAAAAGAGTAGGTGGGTGGACCCACTTGACATCGTAAGAGTAGTGAATTGAGTTGTTCAAAGTTCAAACTGTTATGTATTAAAAAAAAAGAGTCATGCATCGTGTAAATATATGATCATTCTATAGGAATTTTTCTCCTATGCTTTTCATTTTCACAAATTTGTTTATAATTTAAATTTGTTTGATGTAACAAAGGGATATTTGAAATGGCTAAAGCATGATATGAAGGGCTATACTTATATGGGTTTAGTATTTGAGTGTGGTACACCTATTAATGTACCAAGCGTGTATCTAATGCTATAAAATTGACAAAAGTTGAATTGATGATTTATTCTAATCACTTAATTTCCCCGACGGCATTAATCTGAGGGCCAATTTGATACCCTCTATTTCCATGGCAACATTTTCCATTTTTAAACTTTTGGCCTGTTTGATTGCAAGAATCAACCCCCCCCCCCCGAGGGCCCCCCGCCCCCCTTT